CCTTAATCCCCTCCTATTCAACTTTTTCTCTCCAGTTSTGAGGACTGGTATTTTTCAGAGGACAGCCCAGATACCAGAATCGACAAATAAGATGCTTTAATAAGTATTTTATCTTCAAATACCCTTTCAGCAAGACAGAGAAATAGGGAAGGGATTTCCTCTTTGAATTTTATAGTTTGGCAAAGTATGAATAGAAATAATAGTGATAATTTTTACAGTATRTCTTGCATTTTTTCCCTTCATGATATTCAGTGACCAGGGCTGATTCCTGACATCATGATCGTGAAGTCACCCATTAGTTTGAAAAAAACGTTGTACTGCACTTTGGTGTGGTATTAGGGGTGTGGCAGGGAGTGTTTTCTGTAGTTGTGGGGCACCAGAAGCTTTAGTAAAAGCTAGCTAACAATCAAATGGCATCTTATGGAAAAAAGCAGACACAAGCTCCATCCATTTCTTCTGGTGAAAGTATTCTCAGGTATGAGGGGGAGATGTCTAGCTTGTGAAGCACAAGAAATCTGAAAAAACCTCCATCTGCTCTTTTGTTTTTCTTTTTCTGATGTTCATCTCTATCTCACAAATCTTCAGCGCAAATTCTCACTTCTTTTGTATGAAAAGCGTTTACTTTGAGACATCTAAATTTGGGGCAAAGGGAATGAGAAAGGGGCCAAAGGCTGTAGTTCTRTTTGAGCTCATTTCTGTGCCATGGATGGCAGCAATCTGGGCAGTGCAGGTTTCCTGTGTGTCACTGCTTCAGCCTCCTCCATTCACCGGTGAGCCAAGCACAAAACACTGGGTGCCAAGCTCATACTTGAGGATGCAAGGACCAATAGACCTTCCTGATGTGCATCTTCTGCTGACACTGCTACCATATGACCACAACACAGGGCCATGCCCTGTGCACTCCATATCTTAACCTGCTAGAAATGTTTGAGATCATTTTTACACATACACATTTCCCTATATTTCAGTGTTTCTGAGCACACAAGCCAGGTAACAGATACTTAATAACAGTCAGATAATAGTTTGCCAGGAATACCGGTTTAAGATGTTTATGGTGCATGAAGGCCTTGAGCACTTTGTCCCAGGAACAGGAAATCATGCAGAGACTGATACYAAAATGTGTTCTGCTGAAAAGATAAGATTTTCAGTGTGCCAACTRCCTACTTCAAAATTTCAGTAATATTAATTTATAAGGCTTGTGGTGCTATTTTGTGGCAATAATAACTCTCTTACAGAATACACCTGCAGAGAATGAAGAGCCAAATTGGTATTTTGAGGATGTGAGRGTTGTATATATAATGAGTCGGGGTTTTATTTTATAAGTTAAATCWTGTTTTTATGCCTCATATATGTCCTCTCTTACAAGCTTATATCATATTACTTAYACTGGAGTCTAATGAGTGTATAGAGGGATTATTAACAGTCATCAGTAACTGAGCAATGTCACAGAAGAAAAAGAAAACTTACCCAGTGTCACACCCATGTGCTTCTGTAGATATACTGAAAGTGAGAAAATAAGGTGGGAAACTAGAATGACAAATATTGAATAAGGACATACAAAATGCATGCTGGAAACTAGGTAATACTAAGGTTCATAAAAAAGAGAGAAGACTGCAAGAGGAGAAATAAAACTGAATATTAAATATAGTTATAAGCCACATAAAGTAAAACTGATTATTTTTTTTTCGTCAAAGACCAAAAACTTGTTTGCATACTAGAAAGAAAATAAATGGTAAGTTATGGATAGGATCAGCAACTACTCACCGTCAGTATTAGAACACATTCTTTAATTCCAGAGCAGTTGCTTTTACAAAGACTTAAATTCCTTGACATGAGAAAATCATTACAGAATTGCTGAGAGGAGAGTAACTGAGAAAGTAATACTGTACATGTGCTAAATCCACRAAAAATGCATAATACTAAATACTCTACTGAAGGCGTGTTATTTTATGCTATACTGCTACATCCCAKGATTCCACTGTAGCCATCAGATATCCCCATAAGGTAACTGAAGGAGCTGTTGCACTGGAAGCAATGTAGCTGTGRAACTGTGCAGCAAGAGCTACAGAAGAATGCAGGAATGAATGCCCATGAAGCAGCACAGTGTAAAATCAGTGCTGCTTCTGGCACCCGAGACAGCTCATTTAAAGCTACCTGTGACATCTCTGCAGTAAACTGCAAACAGCCTGTTGGTAAAGAAGGAGAAAGAAGGGGAAAAACCCATCAGGGAGGGCTGATCACAAGTGTGAATAAACCCACATAAAGTTGAGTGTGTGTGCAATGACGTGCTGGTCTTACAACAGTCTCAGGTACTTTTATCCTCAGCTCCAGATGCAGCTCGCCCCGCTCCAGGAACTGCCTACTCCACAAAACTCTGTGCCAGTCCAGTAGTCTCACTGTTCCCACAACTTAGAATGTCCTACAGAATCAGACATGTACTGCCCATGATCTGTGCTCAGTCTGGGGTCATTTACACATTTATACTCTATGAACATTCAGATGCTCTAAAGCAGCCAGTGGAGCATATCACAACATACTTTTTAGTGAGTTACAGTGCATGAYCTTTTAGTATTTTGAGATGGTAACAATTTCTAATGGGAAATCATCTGATCCCATCATTTCAGTTCCCCCAGCAGCTTTATCCTARTTTGTAGCTTTTCTTGATTGGTTTTTAATTTTTAAATTAAAAGAATATGTAAGGATGAKTTTACTGGGTTAAAGCTAAAGCACAGTGTTCTGTCTGAAGCACTGGCTGGACTTTTACAGAAGACATATGGGAATCAAAGTTTGTTAAATGCCCACCCAGCAGATCTTTGCCCTGGAATAAGGCAGTCTGTACATCCAAGAACATTCCTTGGGATCTATTTTGACCCTTGATTTTCCTCAACTTAGCAGAATTGTTTTGTAGAGGTAGCCAGGGAATGTTTAAAGGTGCTGAACACATCATGAGTGATTTTGGTATAAAATGAAAAGGAATAGCAGTGTGAATAGGGAAGGAGGGATAGACTGCTTTTCTATTTGTTTTACACGATGCTGCGTGGTACTACAATGAGCTCACTTAAACACAGCCATGGCATTGTTCACTGGGAAGGTTTTGATTTGCCTTTGGAGGCAGGTGAGTTTGGAAGATGTGATGGGTGCAAATTGTGATTTCTTATGGGGATTTTCAGACAAGAAGTAGATCAGAGTGAATAACAGTAGTTTTTTACTCATTTCTGAACAGCAGCATTTCGCATTGCTAAACAAAGGAAGCCATTTCTAATCTATTTATATCTGTCTGTTGCATTTTAGTCAGTGTGGAGCAGAGCTATTTTCTCTCACTCTGGAAATGCAGTTTGGATTCCTAAGAAACTGTGTTCACTTTTGTTCCTAGTTTCCTAGCATAAATTTAGGAACTGTCAAGGTAGTAAGTACTACATCTCTGTGGATAATTTTGTCAAGAAAAATGAAATAAAACCTTACTCAGCATCCAAGTAACTGCTCAACTAATGACTTGAGCTGCAGCAGTAACTGTTAAATATGCAGCTCTAACTGTTAGGTACTTCAACTAAAGCTTTTTTCTTTCTGAAAATCTCAAGCTAGATAAGACTCTTAAGGTAAACTCAAAAAGACAATGAAAGAAATCTTTGCCTGGTTGAAGGTAGTATCACTGATGTTAAACTATCTTCTCCATTTTTAGTGGGGATTACAGTTGAGAAGATACATCACAGGCAGGAGGAAAGTATCCTGATTTCCTGTGTCTTCACCCAGCCCCAGACCAAGAAGTACAAGAGTTGCCAAGAATCTAATTTTCTCTTGAATTTCAGCTTTACAGAACAGAAATGGATCTAGCTGAGAAAGCCACTGAAAATTTGCAATTAGTAGGGCAAATAGAAAAACATTTTCATGGACTTCTTCACAAACAAAAGGCACGACAATGTTTCCCAACCTTTGTACCTGCAAATGAGAAATATAATTTCAGAAGATAGATTGAACCTTATGAAATCTTAACTACCATCACTTGGAAATACTGCAGTTCTGACAATTCAATTCAGCAAAGATGTATAATGTGATTTGAATATGTAGAAAGGAGTTTGAGTAATTTCAGTGTATTGCCAGAAGGAATAAAAGATCAGAAGTACAAATCTATCTGTTTTTCTAAAAGAAAATACAGTAAATTATCTCTCCAGCACAGCAAATGTGGAAACAATAATAAAGACAGAAAAAATTTACGAGAGAGACTCGCAGCACTTTCTGAGAAACACAGTCCATCAATGCATCTGTGTAGGAAACCTGGCAAGTAAATCTTCCCTTTTCTGTATGGACACTACAGCTGTCCTATTTCATTACTGTCAGGAGTACAAAGGCAAAGGTTTTCCCTGATCTTTTTTCTTTTATAAGAAAAGAAATTAAAAAAAAACTGAGCACTTTAAAACTATGTTCTTACCAGACCTCCAAATAGGCAGAGATGGCAATGTGAATAGTCTCATTAATTAAAATCAAGAGCAGCAAAGCATCTCAGAGCTGTCTGTTAGAAAAGCTATGAAAAACAAGGTTTGAAGTGATTTCTGAAGAGGAGGCAAATGCCTCTGCCAGCTGCAGAAATACAGAGAGGAGGGAAATTTGAAATCCTCTCCCTTTACGCACAATCTCTACAACTCCTTATTAGTATGTATTAGATGACTGGCTGAGAGACAGACTATTTTCACAGTGGGAAATAAAACCCTGAGCAATGGCTCAGAGTAAGTATTGAAAAACAGCACGAAAGCAGCTTAAGTCAGAGAGAGGAAATGTTTTTTGTAAAAGAAAGCAGAAGAGTAAAAGCAATGAAAGACTGAAGGAGAAAGACCAAAGACAAGGACAAAAAGAGTGTTTTATGGAGAGATGCTAAAGAAGTACTGAGGAGCACAGTGAATGAACTATTGTGGTCTTTGCCTCTCATCGCAATCCTTGTTATCTCTGTATTTTTATTTTGGCAGAGAATCTGATCTTAATCTCTCACATCTAAACTTTTTTCTCACCTGTCCACAGCGATTGCTGTCATGGAGTAGATGCTGGCAAAGACAGCTGTGATTGGGAAGAAGTTGTGGAAGCGGCAGTAAGCCTCTCCAAAGTACCACTCACTGTGCAGCGCATAGATGAAGTTGATGAGAGTATTGAAAGCAGCCATGGAGGCATCAGAGAAGGCCAGGTTCACCAGGAAGTAATTTGTCACTGTCCTCATGCGCTTGTGAGCCAGGATAATCCAGATGACAATAAGATTTCCAAAAACAGCCACTGCCACCACACCACCATAAGCCAGAGACCACAGGGCAATGCGCCAAGAAGGTTGTACAAACTGATTGGAGAAGTTGCCTGYTGGGGATGCTACAGGGGGAGAAGCATTTCCAGCTGGTGCTCCCAGTGCCTGTCCCCAGGGATTGCCTGCTTCAGCAAGGCTCATATTCCACATGCTGCTCATGTTCATGTTCCAGTTTGCTSTGGGGACTGAAGTCATCTTGGATGTTCCTCTCCTCTCTTCAAGGAATGATGTCCCTCTCCCACCTCCCTCTCCCAACCCTCCAAAATCCCAACCAGCAGATAAGAAGAGGAAAGGGAGAAAAGGGGAAGTAAGGCAGTACAGCAGGTACTGGGAAGGAGAGCTCTGTCAGAAAAAATCTTTGGCTATGCTGTTCAAACTGTTAAAAATGCTGTAGCAGCTGATTCAGGAGAGCTACCTCAGAGTAGAACAGCATCCTATTTCTCCTCTGTACAGCCACCTCTTGCTTTTGGTTTTGCTCAAGGAGAAAGGGACTGGGAGCCAAGACACGTTTTATAGGCTTGTGAGTTCCCAACGTCACAAAGGGAGTGGAGTGATAAGCTCCGTCGGCTGGTAAGCTAACACCTCTTTTCTCTGCCCTCCCTCCCCTTTTATTTCATTCATTGCCAGCAGCAGGCACTTTCAGGAGCTGTGAAGAGCGTCACAGGGAAAATGAATTCTCATTTATGTGGAGAGATTTGGTTTATATTGTTTTTCTTTACCTTTCATTATTGTGCTTCCTTTTTAAAATAGTCTTTTTGCCCTGTATTTGCAGGGCTAATCAGCTGGCTTAGTTGAAAATCCCAGGACTGAGGCTGCCTTTTTTATTAAAGCTCTTTCCAGATAAATTTATTCCAGATCAATTCAGATTGCTTTTATTTGCCACTGCTTTTTCATTTAGTATACATTTTCCTTTAAACCATTGTTACCTACAGATTTAGAGTAGTAACTTTCAGACAAATAAATACATCCTGCTGCTCTCCAATTTCACTTCTCATTCTATAATATGTAACTGATATCAAGAAACATTTATAAAGTTATCTGCGTGTTCAGCAGACGCTGATTTTTACTGAAACAGTATTCAGCCCTAAACATGGGTGTCCCTAGTTATGAGCAAAATATTAGAGGTTTGTTTCCTTTGTGTCTTTGAAAAAAAATTATTTCATTCTTTTTACTGATTTGCATTTATTCCATATTTGGTACTATTATTATTTTGARCAACCAATATTTATTTTTTATATGCAGTGATTTCTATAATGGTACAAGAGGGTAAATGGGGGAATTTAACACCTGATATTTTCACATCCAAAATCAGTTTTCTTGTTAATATGTTAGCAACAATTGGCATTGGGAATACATGTTTTATGCAAGGGTTGATTGTAAGGGACTTCAGCTAACAAACCTTTGTTATTTAATAGGCTGGAGTCTTCAGGGAGAAAATGTGTTTTAGTGCCGATCTGTTTCATGTTTCAATGGTTTAGAGCAACTACTTGTCATCAGCAGAGATTTCAATTGTGTCACAGCGGTGGGAGCTATTCAATGTCCCTATCAGCAATGACACATTCAGTACTTTTTAAAGGAAATCTTCAAACAAAAATCAAGTACTTCTGTGCACCACTTCCTCTCTGATGTATTTACCCAGTGAAAGTAGTGCCTCCACTTTAACTGTCAGTTCTTCACTGCAGTTTTAATTTGAATGACTGTAATTGTGGCTGTTCTGTAGGGGCTCTTACCAACTGACCCCAGCCCAAGCAGCTGCCCAGGCTTAGAAGCTTTGCTGAAAACCACAGAAGCTCTGCTGTAAATCACCTGTTCCTACAGCATGTCTAAAACCCATTTGTGCCCTGGAGATCCTTCTAACAGGAAAGGTACTGGAGTTTATCCACAGTTCCAATTTGAATTGTAAAATTTCCACCTGCCTCTTCTCTTCCTCTCCCCAGAGATGAGCCTGAAGAAGGGCATCATAKAAAACCTCTGTGAGTTTGAGGGCTGAAAAAATTCAAATGGTGGTTCCAGTGWGTGAGGAACAGTAGACTGACTAGTTATAGCAGAGACTTGGACACTCAACGCTTAGCTCTAGCAGCTTCACTTCACGTGGATATAATCCAGAGTACAAACCCTGCCCTGTGCCCTGTACCTTTTCACCTTTATGCCCAAACTAGGAGCTCCAGACTTTATCCTTTTACTAAGCTGATGTGTTTTTCACATTCCCACACCAGCTGCTCAAGTGTCCCAYATGCTTCTGTTGCTTTCACCCAGCTCTCCCAGCCTCAGCTTCATTGTTCCTTTTGCTTGATTTCAGCAGAGACACGGGTACCTTATTTATTGCACGCAGTACTGACAAGTGTGAGTGTGTGGCAGAGTGCAAACGTACAGGAGCAGTTTCCTGCAGAGCATTGTGGTAACTTCCCCTCTATCTGAACATAAACGATTTGTGTTTGMACTGCTTGCTGCAGTTCATGGAGTCACAATCTGATCTCATGTAAATTCTGTCTCAGTGCTGGGTTTCTCTGAAAAATGTGCAATATGCAGTATGTGCTGCAAACTAGGGGCTGGATTTTGAGTTTGAAAGTAGAAGTCAAATTTCTTGTTCTGGAATGGAGCTTGTTCTAGCTCTGTCTTGAAAAATTGCTTACCATTGTGTACCAGGTGTTCAGGAGAGACCATTCCCGTGTGTCCTTCCCTAATCATCTACAGTGCCCCCCAAGGACTGTGTTCTCAGTGCATTCCTAATCACAATGTGAGAGGTCAGAGTACAAGGCAATGTCTCCTTGTTCTAGCAGAGCTGTGGATAAACTGAGTCCTTGAGACTTAAACACGAATCAGGAAGCTTGTTGTAGTCTGTGTTTGTGAAATGTAAGTGAGACCACCAGTGCAGTATATGGAGGAGTGTCAGCTTTGCAGTGTAGAAATCAAAGTGTCATTGGTGTCATTGATTCTGTCTTCCTCTTCAGGGGTASTCTGAGGAAATAAGCCATCCCTGTAGGGAAATTTTTATATACTATGCTYTTCCCCATCTCCTCTCCCCCATACATGAGAAGAAAAACTGTGAGGTACCATTAGCATAAAGGGCAGCCTAGATTTTTTGTTAGTCACTTGCTCAGTAAGGTGGATGTTATCAGCTGTGTTGCAGCAGCTGTCTGAAACTGGCTGTAGAGATGGCTGAGTATCTGGAGTGGTTTTGCTTTGAGAAGTGAACACAGAGCAGCACAAGACAAATGATGGGCAGCTGGATCAGTSTCCCATGAGGAATATTTATGACTCCTTTTGCAGATGACTGTAGAATTTGCTAGAAYAAATTCTCTGTGTTCTGGCTTTCATTCTTACTGAAACCATAGAGGAGCAGTCTGGTACAATCAATTAGAGCAAAACCAGATTCTTCTACATCCAAAAGGCTACAGCAAAAAAACAGGGTGAACTGCCTTGCTAACATTGTACTTAACTAAATAAGAAAAAAAKTTAGGCAGCCAGTCATTAATTGGATCTTACCAACAGAGGAAATTCACATATATAGTAATGTCAGCTGTGCTTCTCCATCGAAATTTGTAATGATTACATATCTACTGATGGAAGTTTAGTCAGCTGAAAGCCATCAGCATTCCATTTCTCAAATAAGTTCCACAGCAACTTTGGTGAAAACATTTACATTAATAACTTCTGAGTAGCATAATCTGCCTGACTGGGGTGCACCTTAGGCAAAGGAGTAGTACACAAGACAAGGTTCTGTGGTTTTTCTCAGTCTCCCTTAGACATTAGAGGGTAACTGTGCTGACATTTTCTTCCAGAACTGTTAAAGGTACGTGATTTCCTATGGTAACTTTTGGTCATTCCAGCTCATGCATAGTTGYAGTGGGAATGTTTGATTTTTCACTCTGTAAGACTCCTCAATTTTAGAGTGACTTTTTGCTGGACATCTGCTATTTGCTGATTTGTTCCTTTGCTTTGGTAATTTGTTCCTTTGCTTTTCCACTGATTGCTACATTGTGCTTGTGTTATAGCATGTTGTACTTTTAAACTGTCGTTAAACTTGCCACTATCAGCAGCTCCCCATTCCCAGTTTCACAGAAACACTTAGAAATGTAAAAGAAATATCCAAAGTGTGAACAGAAAAGTAGCTGTGATTGTCTCTACTTCTTCCTTTCTGTTATATAGTTTTAAGCTATTTTTTCATAGTTCCAGCTTGGCTGGCTCCTACTTAGCCAGAGTGGAAGCTAAGCTCCTGTCTTAGCATCTTGGCTAGAAGGTAGATTTAGAAGTTATTATTTTCTTAGCTATTTATGTTTTAATTTTCTATAGGTCTTCTGGTGTACTTTTGTTGAAAATTGTTCTTCCACTAAATTTTTCTGTGCTGTGGGAATGACAGAGAATATAATCATTATTGCAGAAGGATCTGTGGTGAAATAGCAGCCTGCATACTATTTTTGTTAGCATAAGTGATAACTGCATCATTAGGATGTTTCACAAGGCTTGTCCTCTGTCTTTTCTTTTGTATATAGAGCAGAGGGCATTGTGAAGTTTGCTTTTGGTTTTGAATTTGCTTGCTTGATTAGCCTTAGCCTAATAACCTCATTCCCTGCCTCCTTCCTCCAGTGCCCAGCTGGAAGAAATGATCCTTCAGCAGGAGCTTATTTTTATTCTTCTACTTTGATAGCTCCTGCTCATCAGTCATGAAAAGGTTTAGCTAGGGCAGCAGAATTTATGCAATTTAAGGATGCTCTGCTCTGTCCTATTTATCATGGCTGCATGTTTGCATTGGGCTGCTGTCATGACAATGCCAAACTACCTCGATTTTGAACAGTTTGTTTTATTTTGCATAGATTAAAACGCATCCGGAAAACTGAGTTTGAACTTGGTTTCTGATAATTGTTCATTAATGCAAAAGTCTTATTCCTGTCTCCAACTGCAAATGACTCAGTAGGACACTGAGCAGCTTCACAAGCATGCAAGTAAGGATGTTGCAGCAAAGGGGAAGACCAAAACCAGAAATATGGTATTGTGGCTTTTCATCATGGCTAGAGGGGGCCAAAGGGTGGGGAAAATCATAGCCGAAGAACTGATTAGAGACAAGTTTTCTTCTGGATTATGATGCTGAGATGCAGCTTCACTAGAGCTATTTTCTAGAACAAAGTAAAATTCTGTGTGTCTAGAGATGAGTTATGAGAAACAAACAGTAAATAGAAAGGAATCCTGTTTTGAAT